ATTCGACCACAAACCATCAATTTTTGGCGCAGTTGCCGAGGACTACGGTTCAATTGATTCAATTTAAAATTAGTGCTCATTTGATTGTTAGTTTAGGACTTTATATCATTTGCCTATTGTTTATTTTTGTGCAATTGTAGGTACTTAATTGAGGGAGGAGCAAGCTTGGGGATCATTGTTTTGCTTTGACCCTTTGTGAGCGTATCTTAAAATCTTGAACTTCAAATACTTATCAAAAAAAAAAAAAAAAAATCTTGAACTTCTAATTGTGCACTTTATAGTTTAGTTTTATTTCTATTTTGGATAATCCTTGTCGAGGTTATCATTGCTTTTATTTTACTTTGTTCAAGCATAGGCCATTGTCGAAACAATAACCACACCCTCATATATATAGATGTGTGTGTGTGTGTGAGAGAGAGAGAGAGAGAGAGAAATAGAGCACAAATAACTATAAATAAGCACATTTCAAATAAAACCACATTGGATACCACCTATGATTGCAATTACCACTCTGTTAAACATACTATACATGAGAATGCAACATTTAAATCATGAAATCATCATTCTTATACATTTTTGTCCCAATATAAGTTATCTAATCCAACACACAAACATATGTGCATGCGCAACACCCCCCTGCCTCTCTTTGAGGTGAAAATGCCAAAATGAAAGTGCTCCGAATGTGACACAACTTCGGGGGGTTGAAGAGGAAAGCATGGAGAGCGGAAATCCTTCTATGACCGCCTCCAAATTTGAGCTCTAGTCTCCACCCAAAATCCCAAAGTGCCCAAAAGTCAAAATAAAATAGATGGGTACGTAGCTCTCGTTGTCCCCGCCGCTTCTCCTTTCTACGGCGTTGGCAAAATCTGACCAGAAGGGGATCCAATAGAACTATTAAGCCTAAGATCAAAAGAAAAGAAAAGAAAAGGAGAGGGGGGGAGGGGGGAGGGGAAGTGGAATAGCCGGCCCTTTGGATCCCTTCTCTCTCTCAAAACATATATATATACACTAAAACACAAAAGTGTCACGTGAGCCCCGTCGAAAACCAAAAATCGCATAAATGCCTAAAAATGAAAATATTTTGAAAATAATAATGTCAGTACCCCAAATTAAAATATAAATGTCGAATACGCCCCAACAAAATAAATAAAAAGTGTCGGGAACAATTCCCGAATACATGAACCTGCCCGGGCCCACATGACCCAAACCCTGAAAATGATAAAAAAAAAAAAAAAAATTGGAAAAAGGACATAGGTCCTCATAGTTTGTCCAAATATCCAATGGTTGAAATTATTGGAAAATAGCCCGAGACCCCACCTGTTAGAGTTAACTCTACTTTACTTTACGATGGCCATAAAAGTACACTATTTTTCCCTCACTAAAAATCTCCTTGCTGACATTTTGGATGATGTCATCAACTAAATGCTAAATTACACAACTACCCTTCTAACCCTAAAGACAAGTCTCTCTGGTGTCAAAATTGTCAAGGGCTTTTGCGCGCCATGGATGGCTATTCTACTCCGTCGATTTCAAACCCACCAGAAAACAGCTAACAAAAATAAGTTCCACTCAAACAACCCTCCCTATGCTTCACCTGAAAGCAGCTAATAGAAACTATCCAAGTGGAAAAATAGTTTAACACAATTAGCACATCATCTGTTGGGTTGGCTTGCAATTTGCTATATAGAGCGAGTTTGATTAAAAATAAAAAATAAAAAATAAAAAAAAATTTGGAGAGAGGGAGGGAGAAAATGAGAGAAGGGATAGTGGGGTAAGTTACATAGATACAAAGATAATCTTAAATTTAGTTGAAATAGGCATTTGGTATATTAGTAAGGTTATTTGAGTCATTTTACCTTGCTTAAGGAAAGTTCCGACATTTAACAAATATTTTACTATGAATTTGAATTCTAGGGCTCTGTTTGGTTGGCTAGGTAGAATCAACCAGAAAAGAAAGAAAGTGAAAATTTTATAACTTTTTTAGAGTTTGGATAGAATGAAAATGAAACATTTTTTAATTCTCGCAACCCGTTATTTTCCCCAAAACGTTTCCTGCCCAAAACACGCGAAAATAAAATTTTCTCCTGAAAGTAATGTCTTTCTATTTTGCATTCCTATTTTATCCACCAACTATATCGAGAATTGTAAACCGCACCAATAATTATTTTATATTATTTTTTACTGGATTTCAAAGAATTACAAACCAATAATAACTTTATTGGTGGTAGAGTTTGAATTAACTTAGGCTTCTATAAATAGTAACTTGTAAGTGTCAATTAATTGAAAACTATATCACTTTTTTTTAGATATATATTACTACTAATTAATTCTTTATTATTCTACTATTTATTTTATTATTTTACTATTTTTATAAAATAAGAAAAATATAACATAAGGACAATTTAGGTAAGTACAAATATTTTAGTAACTTTTATGCTTTTCAATACAATTTTTTTCAATAATTTATGAATGCTAGAAAATAAATTTTCTTTAAAGAAATTTTTTTTTTTTTTTTTTTTTTTTTTTTTTTTTTTTCTACAGGATTTTACTCACCTACTTAATATAAGTTTGCCACCATAAAATGAGAAGCATCAAGAGCAATTAGATAATCTGTGAGGAAGGGGTTTAGTGTGCACCCTCCACACTTGTGGTCTCCCCCTGAAACTCTACACTGGATTCTATGTGTATAATCAAGTAGTCATGCTACACTTAGAATGGTGAGCCTTGTGTGTATTTTTAATATTGCAGTATAAAATAAATTGATGGTGTATACGTAGTAGGGTAAAGTGCAAAAAAGTCCCTAAACTATGGAAAAACTTATAACTAACCCCCTGAACAACAAAAAATGCAAAAAAAAACCCGAACTGTACAAAAAAAAAAAGTTACAGATCACCCATCCGGCCAATGTCCCATGAGAATTAGTTGTTAAATTTGGTTGAATTTTTTAAAAAGCCATGCCCTTAGAAGCATGAAAGGACAAGATTGCCCTTAATTTCCAACCTTTGACTCCAATATCCAAATATAGCTTTAACCTCGTGAATTGGTCAAAACAATATCCCAGTCCCGTTTTGTTACCGACGAACCCAGAAATGGCGCCGATGAGGTATCCGGTGAGGACAAAGGACGATGGCACAAGGATGAACTCGGCATTGCGGTCGGTTACCACACGGCGACTGGATTTGGCCATGCTATTACCCTTTAGATTCGCGTCATCAATAGGGTATTCATCATTTGATTGAAGATTAGTATATGGCAGGAAGTACTCCATTGATTGAAGACTAGAACATGGCCGAAACTCCATTGTTGAAGACTTTGCACATGGCGAGAACTCAAACCGAAGGTTTCATCTGATCTTTCTCAATTGAACTATACAAACCCAAGCCACCACCCACCACGCCACCACTGCCTCCTCACCAACCACGATCTTCTCTCTAGAAATTCAAATAATTCATACTAAACCTTCAGAGAATCAGAACACCACAAACCCACCTCATCACCCAATTTCTGCCACTACCATCACCGTCACCTCACACATATATACACACAAACACGCATACATATTTTGTTGTTAAACCCCATCCATCCTAATGTCTGTCCTTCTACATTGTCGCTGCTGGTATATACAATGATTCAATTTTGGGATTTTGTAAAAAATGGGTTAGGGTTTTGCAGACAATTATGCAACTGGGTGACGAGTTGACCAAGTCGGCTCAGATGAGTCTCCACCAATTCGAGTGATTCGCGCAATGCTTTGATTTCTTGAATTTCAAAACACAGAGAAGGAGATGATGAAGATGTACAGTGCACATATATATATATATATGTATGTGTGTACACAGATTTGTTTGGGTTTGGTGGTTATTGTGTTTGCCACGTCAATAAGTGAAATTGGAGTTTAAAGGGAACTTTTATAGGAAGGGCAGTATCGTCTTTTTATTTATTTATTTATTTTTTTCCCGATGGCCTAAGTAGGCAAATTGCAACAAATTAAGTGTAGGGTATAGAAGAAGTGTGCACAACAAGAGAAATAATCTTTCGAAAAAAGGAGTGCTAGCAGCAGAGTCCGACTACCCGGGAATGCGACTAGTGCTCCACACACTCACATACCCATTTTTGGGGTACCATGGTGTTTGTTGGCTGAGACAAAAGCCGACGATGGTGACGAAGAGGCGAGCAAGGAAGACGTTTCCTTTTCTCTCTCCGCTCTCTTTCTCTCTCACTCTCCGGCCGGTCTGTTTCCATGCCACTTATGCAAAATGATTTCCCCCTTTTTTTTTGCCCCCTTTTCTCCTCTGTTTCCACTCTGTCTCTCTCCCAAATCAGTATTTTTTTTTTTTTTTGGCCTTTCTCTCTCTCTATGAACAACCACCACCGGCCACTAACCACCACCATTCTTTTTTTTTTTTTTCCCTCCCTTTTCTCCTCTGTTTCCTCTCCGTCTCTCTCCCAAATCAGTCTTTATATATATATATATTTCGCATTTTTGGCCTTTCTCTCTCCTCTCTATGAAAATCCAACACCGGCTCCCAAACACCACCACAATCTCCACCCCGACACGACCCATTATCCACAAACTCCACTCAGACCTCAAGAGGGTTTAAGGTTTAATTTTTCGGCGAATTGGTGAGGTGATGAATATGGGTACGGGAGACATTCGGTTTTCTGGGTTTGCGTCGATCTGGGTTTTGAAAAGGTGAAGGTGATTTCTGGTAGGTGTGGCGGCTGTGGTTTCTCTTTTTTGTGTGGTTGCCCCCAAAAATTGGGTCTGTTGAGGGGTGGGAGGGGGAGATGATCCGGTGGGACCACCCGCCCGCGACTGCGGCTAGTACTCTCAAAAAAATTTGTCGTGACATTACACTTTGTGAAATTGTAGAATGGGAGCGAAGATATTGCATTGGGATGCTCTAAGGATGTTACTAATAGAGTGCAATATAATAGTATATATATATATATTGAACTAAACTAATAGCAACTAATAGAAGCAAGACACATGTACGTACCCATTTGCTACATCTTCTAAATCGAACCCGCTTACATTTGCTGCTTCCTTCAAAGCATCCCTCCATCTCTGCACCCTTTCCATCTCCTCCTCACGAATTTCTTCGTGCTGTCTAAATGCTTCTGCGAAACTCTTTCTCTGTTTTCGAACATTCGATGCTTTCACATCGTAGAAAATGGGCAAAACTGTCAGTCCCTTGGTCCTCCTACACTCGAGAATTTCCACCAATTCTTCCAAACACCATGATGAATTAGCGTAGTTCTTGGAGAAAACAATGACAGCAATGCTGGATTCATTAATATTTTTCACAAGATCAGAAGAAATAGATTTTCCTCTCTCAAGCCTTTCATCATCTTTGAAGGTCCTGATTCCTCTCTGATTCAGGGCCGTGTAGAGACAGCCCACAAAGGTTTTACTAGTGTCTTCCCCTCTGAAACTTAGGAATACGTCATATTCTGATCGAGACAGTAAAGAATAAGATGAAGAAGCCATAGGAACCTTGCTTAATTGTGTGCCAGATCTCTTGAAGCTTGAGATCTTGAGAGCAATAAGTGTATAAATATATATATATATATATAGACACGAAATGAAATAGCTAAGCATATATTATACGGAGTATATTATAGTAGCAATAATACAGCTAGATGCCTAGTCAAATCTTAGCAATGTGGTATCCATAAAGATGAGCAATTGCTGGTGACTTTTCATGAACCTTCCTTTGTTTTTTAGGATGACATTGACTACAGGCTGGGAAGCAACGACACGGCACATAGGATTGCCACACGCTGTCTTAATGAAATTCTGCCAACTACAGGCGCCTTTATTTTCAATCTTATCTCTTTCTTTTGGGATGTTCGGTTACAGAAATAATTCTACCATTGAATACCATCGTATCTATAATTTTACAATTCTACCATTGAATATAGACATATCTACAATTATACCATTGAATATAATCATATATTAAATTAAAGCAATTCTACCATTGCATATCAAGGTATATAATTTTTGTTTCTATTTTAACAAAATTTGGTCGCATTTTTGCTAGACCTAATTTAGATACTCTCTCCGTCCCTCAATACATGTCCTCTATTGGGAATCCAACTTTTTATGGTAATGGGATTTTATTAATTTTTTGTTGTATTGATAAGAGTGAAATTTCAAATATGTCCTTGCTAAAAGACAAAATAGTGCTCCGTAATTAGTGTAGTTGTTTAGTTAAAAGGATAATTTAAAAATGTTATAAAAAATAGTACATTCCATTTTGGGATAGGACATGTTTTTTGGGACATTCCAAAATGGAAAGATATACAATTATTTTGGGACGGATGGAGTAAGTGTTTATAATTATATATATTAAAAATCAAGTAAAAATTAAAATTTTATATTATATTATATATATATAATTTTATTGTCATATTTATGTCGTGCCGGTGTCTTATTTTTTCAAAATTTGTCTTATCGCCGTGTCGTGTCATATCGTACTCGTGTTCTGTATTCATGTCCATACTTCTTAGACTACAGGTGACGTGCAAACAATTTATTACGTCTCACGTCGTCGTTAGTGAATTTGCCGTTACTGAATACACGTTTGCCGTTAGTGAATTTGTCATTAGTGAATACACGTATTAGTTTGTAAACACCTAAAATTTGTGATGGTCTAAATATCGTCGGATCGGTCAAGAAGTCAAATATTTCTTGATTAATTAAATCTCATAAATACGGGTCCCATCAATGGACACGTGTCAAAATCTTAAAGGTTCAGACTTTTAAAGAAAACAACGGTTAAATTCAAATTAATTCAAAATTTGAATTTGAATTTATTTCTATATAAAAGGAATCAAATCCTTTATTTATCGAAAAAATTGCACAATATTAGGGAGTTTCCAAATTGAACAACCCACCCAATGGCCTATAAATACAAGGCCACCCCTCACATTTTGAGGACACACAGAGAAAGAGACAAACTAAACATTGAATCTTTGCCCATGCTCTCACTCAACAAAGACTTTGAAGTTTCAGAAGAACAACAACAACACTCCAAAGTTTTTGAAGAAGAAGAACAACAAGCGTGCCATACCTACGCCGTTCTTCATCAAAGCCTTTCAACATTCAAAGATTTTGAAGAACAACAAGCACGCAAGTGTCGTTCTCCTTCAAAAACTTTCAAATCCACTATTCGAGATCAAGCCTCACCATCCCTCGTTCAGAAATCTATTCAAGTTTTCTTCAATTTTGAAGAATTCAAATACAATCCAACCACCGGCCCAAGTTTAAGCTTCCGAAGCCGTTGCGCCGACGTTCTAAGGAGATTTAATCAGAGGGAGATTCTATATTGTAATAGAATCGCTAACAGAGAACTGTACTCATTTATTTTCTGATATTATTTAATAAAATTATTGTTATCACATTTATTTTAGTTCTAGGTTTTCCGGAATCAAAATTTGTGTGTACAAATTTTTGGCACGCCCGGTGGGACCTCTCTGCCTCTCATCTCCATTTCCTTAATCACTCCGTCAACATCTTCTCTTACTCGCATCAATGGCCTCAAAGAAGATTCAAATCGCTCATGGCTCGAAGAATGCCAGTAAGAATGTCGCGATTGTGACAACCAATAAGGCTTTCACCTCGAAGGCCACTAAGAACACCGCCGCTCCATCAAGTGATAGCAACACCTCCACGGGACCAACGACCCGCAGCAAAGCAATAGCCACTTCTTTGGTGCAGAAGCCAAGCACAGTGCGTGTCAACTCCACTAAGCCTGCGAATACAAAGGCTCAACTGTTCATCACCCTTGAATCATTGAGAGCCATGAAGATCAACACTGTGAGCCCTGAGGAAGACATCGCTGGTTTGGAAGGCTTCTTTCCGAGAAGTATGTCACCACATTTATCTCGATCCATTCCAGATTCTAGTTCAAGCACGGGCTCACACTCAGCCTCATCCCCAGTATCTCCAAGAGGTGCAACTTCACCAAGGTATGCTGATTCTCTGAATCCTTCACATTCAACTTACATGCAAGTCATGATGGCCGACACAACATCGATAGAAGAACAACTGGTGACTATGGCCCATGCTATTGAGAAACTCACCAAGACTGTGGAAGACAAAGACTTGTAGATTACTTCATTAATGAATAAGCTTGAAGTACAAAAGCCCACCGAGTCAAGTCAAGGACCAACACACCCTCCTGGTTTCATGCCACAAGCAACCATGGCGAACAAGACTCACCATGCAACCACATCCAAACAGGGGGCAAACCAAACCAACTTCACCCCCTCCATCGTTTCATTGTCTGTCCAACAACTTCAAGACATGATTAGTAACACGATCAGGTCACAATATGGCGGGGCAACTCACAGTTCTCTTATGTATTCGAAACCTTACACAAAGTGAATCGACAATATGAGAATGCCAGTCGGATACCAACCTCCCAAGTTACAACAGTTTGATGGAAAGAGCAATTCTAAGCAACATATCGCTCATTTTGTTGAAACTTGTAACAACGCCGGAACTGATGGTGATCTTTTAGTGAAACAATTTGTTCGTTCCCTTAAGGGAAATGCCTTTAATTGGTACACTGACTTAGAGGCTGAGTCAATAGATGACTGGGACTAGATGGAACGTGAATTCTTAAACTGCTTTTACAGTACCCGTCGTACCGTGAGCATGATAGAACTTACCAACACCAGGTAGTGGAAGGACGAACCTGTTATAGACTATATCAACATGTGGCGTGCACTTAGCCTAGACTGCAAGGACCGACTCTCAGAAATTTCTGCTGTTGAGATGTGCATGCAAGGTATGCATTGGGGACTTCTCTATATTCTTCAAGGCATCAAACCCCGTACCTTTGAAGAGTTGGCCACACGTGCCCATGACATAGAGATCAGCATCAATACTCATGGTGGAAACAATCCTTCTACCTTAGAGCAGCGCAAGGATAAGAAAGAAGTAAAGAAAGACAAGAAGCCAACAAAGAAAGGCAACAAAAAGACTATGACCATCACGGCAGTACCATTGAAGATCTCCACGAGGGAGAAGAACAAAGGAAGTGATAAGCAAAACAAATTCCAAGAGAAGGATAAGCTCTGGTAGGAGAAGCCGCGCTTGACACTCAAGGAGCTAGAGAAAAAAGAGTACCCATTCCCAGACTCGGATGTGCTAGGAATACTAGAATTTCTACTCGAAAAGAAAATGATCGAGCTCCCATAGTGCAAACGCCCTGAAGAAATGGGGCGAGTGAATGACCCAAAATACTGCAAGTACCACCGTATTGTTAGCCATCCGATTGAGAAGTGCTTTATATTCAAGGAGTTAGTAATGACTTTAGCTAAATAAGGGAAAATTCTTTTGGAAGGTGATGAAGTAGCAAAGACAAATCATACCACCACCACATCTGAATGTCTCAGTCCAACTTATTCCAGACTTTCTAGGCAAATAACCCCAGTCATACAGCTGGAATGCCCTCAGATCATTCAGTTTGGTTCATTGGAGCCTGTGATTGTCCAAATGCCTCAGACAGAGTTACTTGAACAAGTAAAAGAAGAATGGACTCTTGTGACGAGAAAGAAGCCACACAAGTAAAGGACCAATGAACCAATAAGAATGACTCAAGAAAAATAGGTGATTGTGGAAGGAGATCAACCAGATGAGTGCCCCAACAATGGCCCTCGCAAGCCTGTCACATTAGAAGATTTCTTTCCCACTAGATATTTCAATAATAATCAAGTTCAAGCCATTTATACAGTGTCCATTGCTGGAGTTGATGAGCCGGCTGAACAAACTGATGAAAAAATCATAGTTTTAGAAGATCCAGGCAACTGCACTGGTATGGAAGATGATGAAGAGCGAATCCCTATAACCACTCGTGCCTCATGTCGTGCGGCAATCATCTTTACCGACGAGGACTTGCGGTTGGGCTTGAAGCCACACAACCTTCGGCTTTTCATTTTCGGATACATTCGGGAACAAAAAGTTATGTGTATCCTCATTGATGGAGGTTCTACAGTGAACATCATGCTAAAATCCACGATGAAGAACCTCAGCATCACAGTCGATGAATTGGCTCGTAGCCGCCTAGTCATCCAAGGCTTTAACTAAGGAGGACAAAGAGCAATTGGCATGATTAGTCCATCTCACCATTGAAGAGTCAAATGCTGAGACTATATTCCATGTTATCAATGCGAAGACGTCCTATAACTTATTGCTAGGGCGACCTTGGGTCCATGGAAATGGCGTGGTTCCATCCACCTTGCATCAATGCTTCAAGTTTTATAGGAATGGCATAAAAAACTGTATTCGCAGATGATAAACCATTTGCTGAGGCACACTTGCATTTTGCAGATGCTAAATTTTACTCTGACTCTAATACACCAATGGAGGTTCTCCCAACGGATATCCTTTTAACGGGCAAAGTAGAATTGAGAAAGGGGAAATAAGTCAAACTCATTCCTATGGAATGCATCACACATAAGAAAGTTGTGACTTCTACATAAGGGTCTGGATCATCTTCAAATGTCTTTAAGAACAAGTCTGTTTTCAAGTATGTGCCAAAATCTAGAAGGAAGGAAAGACAATCACCTTTTGTTGAGATTGTTGAGATGAATGAAACAAAGACAAAGCCCATCCCCTCTTTAATGAAAGAAGATTCACAAGCGCTCAGAGAAGACTAAACAATTCCTATAGTGAAGATTGAAAAGTCCAAAATTGCTAAACCGCCACTAAAAGGGTTCGTCTTTGGATCTCAGATTCAATAAAACAAAGTTCGCTTCCTCGTCAAAGGACAATAGAAGGATTCGATCCAAATACATATAAGCTCCTGGCCAACATAGGGTACGACTTTGAAAATCCTACGGAACTTGGGCAACTCAGCCTCGAACTCACCGGCGAGAAAGTGCATAGCCTTAATAAGACACAAAAGAAGTTGCGAGATTAAGGACATAAGATCAGTCCACCTAAAACAGGTTTAGGTTTCATACCAAGGGAGCCTATCCGAGTCCCCATGGGAAGAAGGGATAAGAAAGCAAGTACACAATACATTAGTGTCAAGGAAAATAAAGAGAATGAGGATCAATAGCTTGTTTCACGAACCTCAGTGTTCGATCGAATTGAAGCTCCAGTACCCCGCAATTCTATTTTTGAAAGGTTGAATGTGACAGGCCAGATGAATAGATCATCTCCTCACAGCAACCATGCACCTTGTTTTTCTGTGTTCAACAGGTTAAATGTCAATGCTCGGAATAAAGAAGTGTTAAGTTCTCAGTTATGAAGGTTTGTCTTTACCCGGATTGAAGCCATCAATTCCATATCTAAAGACAAACAAAACACAATAAAATACGAGAAAGTTCACCTCAAGACAGAAAAAGATGATGGCGTTGGAAGCCTAATTCCTTCTCGAATGAAGCAAAAAATGGAGCTCAAAGTGAATGCTGATGGAGTATTAATAGTTAAAAGACGAACCATCATATGTACGGAGCCTTTAGAGCAAGAAGATGAAAGGAAGGATGAAGGAGAAATGACTTATGCTACTTCTTACCATATCACAATGGCGGAAGATGACTAAGAATTAGATTCTCATAAAGAAGACTTCAAGGAAGCGCCTCCAACACTTGAAGAGAGGGAGTAAGCTACCATTGACCAACTCAAAGAGATTAACTTAGGATCAGTTAAAGAACTTAAGTCAGTCTTCATCAGTGCACTCTTAAGCCCTCTAGAGGAGAAAGGTTATGTTGAGTTGTTATCTGAGTATAGAGATATATTTGCTTGGACATACAAAGAAATGCCAGGTTTTGAACCCAGGGTCGCATTCCACAGCCTGGCAGTTAAGCATGGTGCATATCCAATTAAGCAATCCCAACGCTTTTTCAGGCCAGAGCTTATCCCAAAGATTGAGGAAGAAATCAACAAACTCATTGATGCAGGCTTCATTCGAGAGGTTAAATACTCGACGTGGATTTCAAGTATTGTCCCAGTCAAGAAGAAAAATGGGCAAATACGAGCTTGTGTAGACTTTCGTGACTTGAATTCTGCATGTCCAAAAGACAACTTCCCTCTACCTGTAGCTGAACTCATGGTAGACGTAACAATGGGACATGAGGCTCTTTCTTTTATGGATTGTTTCTCCAGTTATAACCAGATAAGAATGTCTCCTAAAGACGAAGAGTTAACTGCTTTCCGTACTCTAAAGGGGATATATTACTATAAGGTGATGCTATTCGGACTTAAGAATGCTGGTGCTACCTATCAACGGGCCATGCAAAAGATCTTTGATGATATGTTGTATAAAAATGTAGAATATTATATGGATGACTTAGTCGTCAAAAGCAAAGAAAGAAGAACTCACCTTCAAGATCTTCGCACAGTTTTCAATCGATTAAGGAAGTTCCAACTTAAAATCAATCTTCTCAAATGCGCATTTGGTGTCACATCAGGAAAGTTCCTTGGTTACATTGTCCGACATCGCGGTATTGAAGTTAACCGATCCAAGATTGAGGCCATTCAAAAAATGCCACCGCCCAAAAACCTGCATTAATTGCGAAGCCTCCAAGGACAACTCGCTTTCATTCGTCAGTTCATTTCGAATTTGGCTGGCCGGTGCCAACCATTTAGTCAACTTATGAAGAAAGATGCCCCTTTCACATGGCACCAAGCTTATCAGAATGCTTTAGACAACATCAAGAAATACCTGCTTAATGCCCCGGTGTTAGGAGCTCCCACACCTCGAAGACCACTTATACTATACATTGTTGCTTAAGATGAATTGCTTGGGGCTTTCCTCGCACAAAATAATGAGGAGAATAAGGAAAAGGCTTTATACTATCTAATTTAGAGGCTGACTACAACAGAGCTCAAATATCCTTCAATTAAGAAGACTTGTCTCGCACTAGTATTTGCTTCCCAGAAATTAAGACACTATTTTTTGGCTCACAACGTACATGTGATTGCAAAAGCCAACCCCCTTAAGTATGTCATGTCAAGACCTGTTCTCTCTGGGCGACTAGCAAGGTGGTTAATTTTGTTCAACGAATTCGAAATCTTGTATGTCCCGCGAAAGACAGTCGAAGGGCAAGCCCTTGCTGACTTCTTGGCTGATCATCTAATACCAGCTGATTGGGAAATATCTGAAGACTTTCCTGATGAGAAGGTTTTCTTTGTTGATGTCCTTCCGCAATGGATGATGTTCTTTGATAGTGCGCCGTGGTCCAATGGAGCAGGGGCAGGATTGGTGTTCGTTTCTCCACAAAGACAAATTTTGCCATATGCTTTTTCGTTTCCTGAAAATTGCTCAAATAATATGGCCGAGTATCAAGCCTTGATAATTAGTCTCCAAATGGCAAATGAAATGAAGATTTCAAATATTGAAGTTTATGGTGACTCCAAGTTAGTAGTTAGCCAACTTCTTAGGGAATATGAAGTCAAGAAAGATGACTTGATTTCACGTTTCCAGTATGCTTCCAATCTACTTAGTAGATTTGACAACATTGTTTTAGAACATATCCCAAGGGAAGAAAATCGCTTAGCAGATGCTTTGGCTAACTTAGCCACAACAATGGCATTAGGAGAAGCCGAGGCAATTACCGTCCCAGTATGCCAACAGTGGGTATTGCCGTAGTTGCTCGAGGGCTGATAAGCGCCGAATATTACATATTCAAGCGCCCTTATTTGCATTAGTTAAGTCCATTAGTTGTTTATTTTATTTAGATTGCCTTCATTTGCATGTTCATATTTATTTTCAGGTTCATTGGCCAAAAAGGAGCAAGAATGAGTTTTTGTTGAAGCCTTAAATGTCATGGTGCTCATTAAGGAAGTTCTGGCAGCAGTGGGAAGTGAGTTTGATCGCCATTTTTGACCTAGCAAACTCGAGAACTGGACTTTCATCAAAACATATAACATGAAGAGCTATGAATCAGCTTTCCAAAGACATAAAGTTTGCTTCATTTGGAGTTCAGAGCAAAGAGTTATGCTATTTTCACCAAAGGTGCGCAGAACAGCCTGGCAGCAATGGATTTCGACCTTGCTCCTCATTTTTGACCCTCCAACCTTCAGAACTGGACTTTCATTATAACATGGTTTATGTAGAGCTTTGAATTAGCTTTCCAAATCTTCAAACGGTTCGTCATTTGGAGTTCAGAGCGGGAAGTTATGGTCATTTTGCCAAAGTGGCTCAAGCTGGAAAGTAGCTTCGAGCGCTCGAAGAGCCACCTTCGAGCGCTCGAAAATTGGGCAGAATGCCCTCCGGAAGTCCTCATTTTCAGCCCACTTGTGCCTTGTCACCCTCATCTCTTATTTCCTCTTTTTGGAGTTGGTAGAAGATGTGTGGAGGGCCTTGTTTTGAGGGGTTTTGGTTGGTTTTCTTGCCTACAAAAGCTAAAGGAGCATTTCATTATCAAATATCTTGGAAGGGCAGAATTTCTAGAGAGAGGGAGGAGAGCAAGAGAAGGGTTTCTTGAAGCCACAAGAAGGGAGCTCGAAAATGGAGGGAAAAGGCATGGTTTTTCCTTCATCTAAAGCTTCTGTGGGTAACTAACTCACCCTCTAGGGAGGTGATGAAGTCCCTCCCTTGTAAGCATGATCTAGTTTAGCTTTATTTTGGGGATTACAATGTATATGCTATGGTCTTTTCATAACCAAGAGCACTTCATTTGTTGTAATGAATGTTAATATTGCTATGAATGATTTATTTGAGTTGTTTATCTTGTTTTAGATGACCTCTTACATTAATCATGTTGCTTGAGTTTTCATGGTGAGAATGGAAACTAGGTTATGGAATGGTTTAATGACATGTTGATAGGTGACTTTGATAGATCATTGCTTAGGGAAGCCCTTTGATGGTGTATGCTTAATCCCTACCTTCATGTGCTTCATCATTGTGTCAAGGGCTTGATAGTCTTTCATTTAAGTATATGTGTTTAAGCTACACTCTAGTTTAGGTAGTCTAAACATATTCACCTTTGATGGATTATTCTTGTTTGTGATTCAATGTACTTCTTGTTAATTATATGGCAACCATGAGTTGCTATATAATTCTTGGCCATTATATATTGTTTTTCCCCAATTTAGCTCTAATCTAGCATGTGTATAGGGATGGAGACGGATTCACTCCCCTAGTTGTCTTTAATCGAATTTCATCTCATTTAAATTCTTGCAAGTTTTTAGTTCATGCATCTTAATTTCATAACTTAAGTGACAACCAACAAATCCTCTATGAACATTCCATATCACTCTAAAATGATTCTAGATACTTAGGTTGCCGTAGATTAGCGCAGTCCCAGTGGTTCGACTTACCCGACCAATAGCCCTATTTTACAATGATTCGTGCTATTGCGAAGGTTGATTAAATTTAGGTCATATTATCAACCGATCAAAATTTTGGCGCCGTTGCCGGGGACTTGCAAACGGTTTAGCAACCAAAGTTCTAGGGTTAATTTTAGTTTGATTGTTAATATTGTGAATTGTGCATATTTCTTGTGTGGTTTTGACCATCTTTATGTTTTAAGTGATCTTGTGAGATTCTAGGAATTCGGGGCTCACTGAGGAAATGCTAGCAAATTTGTAAGTCTAGAGGACTCCAGGTAAGTCTCTTGACCTCCTAGTTTCAAACTTGTTAATATTTTGCATGTGTTTAATCTAGAGATTTTTAGCTTGTGAAGCCCTTGTCGAGGCTATTTCTGTTTTTCTGTTTTACAAAGCATCGGTCCTTGTCGAGGCCAATTTTTATATGTCTTGTGATAATTGAGGAGAAAGGGAACATCGTATGTGAAGTTGATGATAAAAATTTTTGTTATGATGATTGTGTTGTGAGTGTTGATGTTTGGCCGTAGATCGCTTTCCTTCCCAACTCTTGACTCGCCAGTTGACATAAATTCACTTGAAAGAACTCTTAGACGGAACCTTAGGGAATCTTCTAGCATAAGAGAACTTGAAACTGAATTTAACACAATGGCTGAAAATGTAGGAAATGTCGGAAATGAGGGAATTAATGGTGATAGGGCTGGAATTCCAAATGTAGAGCCAATGACCCTCAGAGACCATTTCATCCCTACCACCTATGCTTCACCTTCATGCATAGTGATGCCAAACATTGATGCAGCTCAATATGAGATCAAATCTAGTACCATTCAAATGCTTCCATCTTTCCATGGCCTTGATAATGAAGATCCATATAAGCATCTTGATGAGTTCCTTGAGATTTGTTCAACCATCAGGTTGCGAGGTTTCCCTGAAAATGCCCTCCATTTGCATCTTTTTCCATTCTCCTTAAAAGATCGCGCAAAATATTGGTTGAGCTCCCTAGTGGCAAATTCCATCAATTCTTGGGCTCAATTGCAACAAGAATTTCTTAAGAAATATTATCCGGTGAGCAAAACCAACCAAATGAGGCGTTCCATTCTCAGCTTTTCTCAAATCGATGGAGAACAACTCCATGAGACTTGGGAAAGGTTGCAAGATCTTCTTAGGAAATGTCCGCATCATTTGATTCCAAAATGGCAATTGGTGCAAGCCTTCTATGATGGTTTAACTGAACCACATAGACTCATGGTTGACTCCTCTTGTGGAGGGATGTTCATGTCTAAGAGTGCGGATGAGGCTTGGACTCTACTTGAGAATTTAAGTGAAAATTCACTTCAACATACTTCTCGTAGGGCTCCAACCTCAATCGCTGCAAAGAACACCAATCCTTGTCAACCAAAGACGATGAGGGAAGAATCCTCTCAAGTGGATGCCATAGCTCACAAATTCTATCAATTGATGGCACCACATCTTTCTACCTCTTTGTCTCAAAATTCGGCAAGTACGGTATGTGCATCATGTACTAGTCCATTCCATCTCTCAGAAGATTGCCCCACACCGGAGCAATTTCCCAATCTAAATCAAGAGCAAGCAAATGCCATGTTCTCAAGGCCTGGGAATAATCCATATTCCAATACTTATAATCCAGGTTGGAGAGATCATCCAAATTTTTCGTGGAGGCAACAAGCCCCACAAAATTCTCAATTTCAAAGCCAAGGGCATCAAAATCCTCCCTCCTCTCAATTTCAAAATAGGCAATTTCCAGCCTCTTCAAGCTACCGTCCTCCGTATAATCCAAATGTCTCTAATCAACCTCCGGTGTACCCAACTGATGAAATTGTGGCTGCAAACAAGCAAATGATGGAATCCTTAAACAAGCAAATTATGGATTCTAACAAGCAACTCTTGACATCTCTGCAGCCTACCCTTCAAATGGTTCACTCTCATACTCAGTCCATAGCTAAGCTCGAAAATCAAGTGGGCCAAATAGCTAACTCTGTGAACCAATTGCTTCAAAAGGACAAGGGTAAGCTTCCCGCTCAACCCTTTGAAAATCCTAGAGGAATGCATGCGATTGATGAAACCCCTCCATCGAGTGGGCCGAGTCATGAGCATGTTCAAGCAATCACCACCCTTAGGAGTGGTAGAGTGGTTGACAACAAGGTTGATGGAGACAAAAATGAAAAAGAACCTCCCTTGAAAAATCCAAATCCAAGCTCTTCTCGTCCAAATACCATTTCTGGAAATCCCGCACATGTAAACCCAAATGTGGAAACTACTTATGAGCCAAAAGCTCCGTTTCCTCAACGTCTTCAAGAGTCGACACATATTGGGAACAAGAATTGTAAAATTCAAGACATGTGGGAAGTTTTCAAGCAAGTGAAGATCAACTTGCCCCTCTTGGATGCTATCAAGCAAATCCCTCCCTATGCAAAATTTCTCAAAGACTTGTGCACTCAAAAGCGCACTTCTAAAAATCATTTGCCAAAGAAAGTAATGTTAACTAAAAATGTGAGTGCAATCATTCGACATAGTGCTCCTCCAAAGTATAAGGATCCTGGCGCCCCCACAATCTCTTGTGTCATTGGTGACAACAAAATCGAGAGGGCCCTCCTTGACTTAGGAGCTAGTGTGAATTTAATTCCATATTCAGTTTACTTGCAGCTTGGTTTGGGAGATCTAAAGCCGACTTCCGTGGTTTTGCAACTTGCCGATAGATCGGTCAAGCATCCACGAGGCATTCTTGAGGATGTTATCATCAAAGTGGACAAATTCTACTTCCCAGTAGACTTTGTGGTTCTTGACACGGAACCGGTCCATGACCCAAAGAAGCATATCCCCGTGATCCTCGGTAGGCCATTCTTAGCTACGGCTAATGCATCAATTAATTGTCGGACCGGGGTGATGGACATTGCTTTTGGAAACATGCAAGTCAAACTCCACATCTTTCATGCAACTCAACATCCTTCCAATGAGGATGATTGTTTCCTTGTTGATGTCATTGATGACGTGGTTGAGGAATCTCTTCCCTTCGTTCTAAGCAAGGACCCCCTTGAAACTTGCATGTCTCATTTCGACTTCTCAAACTTTGATATTGACAAATCAATCCAAGAAGTTAATTCATTGCTCGACATTAATGCTATCATGGACACTCCTCCATGGAAAGTTCCAAAAGAACCACTTCCTCAACTCTCTTCTTCTCCTCCGGTCCCTTCTTTGGAGTCTCCACCGCAACTTGAGCTTAAGCCGCTCCCGGCCCATCTCAAGTATGTATTCCTTGGTTCGAATCAAACTCTCCCGGTCATCATTGCATCGGACCTT